CTCTAAGCTCCATCCTTTATCTATGCCTAGTGCCTAGGGCAACCACCTGGAGATTCTGAGTCAGAGGACGTCAGCTTCCCTAAGGCGATTCCGGAATTTATGGTTATCGCTGCCATGCCTGGGTGGTTACATATAAGGAACTAACTTTAATCTTTTAGAGTATAAATATAAAACAAACCCAGTGGATTATTACTCGAGTCAACCCTTTGTAAATGTGTCTCTTGTTTTTCTTTGTAGTGTTGCGTTTGTGTTTATATGTTTCTGGTGTTCAATCCGTCCGTCCTGTAAACGGGCCACGACACATCCACCCACACACATGCACTCACATCACATCCACCCACACGCATGCACTCACATGACATCCACCCACACGCGATTGCACGCTCACATCACATCCACCCACACGCATGCACGCTCACATCACATCCGCCCACACGCATGCACGCTCACATCACATCCACCCACACCATGCACCGCTCACCCCGTCAGACATCCCGCCAGCACGCATCGCACGCTCACATCACATCCACCCACAGCACAGCTGCACGACTCACATCACATCCGCCACCACACATGCACACTCGACTATCACATCCGCCCACTCGCATGCACACTCACCCCCCCCCATTTTTTTTTTTTTTTTTTTTCTTCACATCCACCCACACGCATGCACACCCACATCCCTTAGCAGGGATGGGCAAGGTGAGCCACAGGGGGCATTTCTCATCCCCAGCTTCTCTTAGGGTGACCCCCAAGATCTTCGGCTGAACCCCGGCGGCTGTGCCTGGCTTAGGTCGCCCCTCCCTTGAGGGGTCTTACCCGTCATTGACTAACCAGCCATCTTATGGGGTGTTATCGTGTGGCCTCCAGACCCCCAATGCTGTGGGGCGGGGCTGCTCTTGCTAGTCGAAGCTCAGGTCTTTTGTTATGCCTCTAGGCAACACCTTTGTTTATCACAGGGAGCCTGTCCGGAACAGATTACTTTCAAACACTCTGGGCAGAACACGTACATTACTCACTAACTTTAATTCTTAAACTAGGAAAATATATGTCAGTCCCCTACATGGATGTGATGTGAGTGTGCATGCGTGTGTGGATGTGCTTGCATGTATGCACTGTGTGTGAGTTGTATGTGGATTGTGTGGGCATATACATGCATGAGTTCGTGTGTGTGCACACACGTGTGCTATTCTTAAGGACAGCGTGAGGCGGCCCCTCTGCCTGGCCTCTGTGCTAGTGTCTCACCAGGGTGACGTCCCCCACGACAGCGGCCCTGTGAGGACGTCAGTCGGCCTAAAGGAGGTGGAGGCAGAAGCCGCCGGTGGGTCCCCTCTGGAGTGGTCCTGGAGGGGGAGGGTCCCAGTCCTCAGGGGACCACATGGTGGCATCTGCTGCCTCTCCCATGAAGGCCCCAGACAGGGCTTGGCTCTGGGCCACCTGCTCTGGCTCTGAGAATGTCGCCCCACGGGGCGGTGGGCACTGGGGAGCCCAGGTGGTTTGTGGAGAAGGCTGGTTGTTGCCTGCGCTGAGGGGAGCTCTGGTCCTGGGATGAGGGGCCTTCCGTAGATGTTCTGGGTCTGTGAGGGCAGTTCCCACCGCTCAGGGGCCAGCCGCCCAGGCCTCCTGTGGGCCGTGAGGCTGGTGGCCTGAGCAAGGACATGCTGACCCACAGACGGTCCTCCAGGGACCTGGGAGATATGTCAGGCAGTGTCCCCACGGGGCAGCGGGTCTGGACAAGGCCCCCAAAGAGAAAAGACCACGTAAATAAAACCAGCAGAAATGACAGACAAAAGGAAAAGACTCACAGGGTGTCAACCCGAGAGGAAGAGGCCGAGGCATGAGTAAGGAGTTGGCAAAGTGAGCACAGACTGTGTGACCCCAGGTACGTTTCTAAAGACAAAAACAGAGACAAAGAGTGGTTGGTAAGAGCTGTCTGTCAGGACTTCTCATTGGTCTGCAGAAACAGCATTGATTGGGGATTGGCTACACATTGTTGAGCTATAGGGTGCAGCTAATGCTGCTCTGTTAGGCTGATTTATAGCACTTGTGGCCACAGCTCAAGGGGTGAGTAGGATGTGACTCTGTCTCATTTTAATAATTTAAAAGGACTCGCCTCCCTCAGATGAAATTTCTTTCTCAAGGGGCTACAGCTAAGAGTTACCCAACACATCTATTGAAATAACCGTGCTCAGCCTGGTTACCAGGCTCAGAGACATAAAAGGTAAGGTTGAGAATTTTAGCAGAGACTCAGAAACCACTAAAATTTAATATAAATAAATTCTAGACCTGAAAAAAAAAAAAACTGAAAGAAATCGATGAATGAATTTAATGGGAGATTAGACACAGTTAAAATAGAGCTTGTGAACTGGAAGATAGAGAGTAAAAGATATAGAGGTCGGTATCAACAAACCTTTCGTTCATGTAATCGGAAGCCAAGAATGGGGGTGGGGAGCAGAGAGTGAGAACGTTGAAACAACATCCAAAGAAATAATGGTGAGAACGTTCCCAAACTGTAAAAACACAAGCCATGGATTACCAGAAGTCCTGCAAACTTCCATAAACTAAAATAAAACCTTACACACACCCCCAGCTGACTGAATTGACCCCCCTCTCAGCCAAGGGAACCCCAGAAATACCCTGAAGCTGAGTTGCTGGCCACGAGGGAGGTCAGACAGCCTCAGCGCACCCCTCCCTTCTTGGAGATGTCTTTTTGACTCCTGACAGACTGAGGCCATGCAGGACAGAGCTTGGACCACACCTGCAGGTCATCAGTTTACTTAACAAACCACTTGAGTCCGGGTGTGTGTCTAGTGTCTTGTCCCTGATAACAAACGTCCTTACCGTAACTTAAAACAGTCCAAGCCTTTACACAAAGCTTCATTTCTTTAACAAATCAAAGAATCTGTAAACCCACCTGTAAACTGTAAGCCCCTACTTTGAGATGTTCCACTTTTTCGGGCCAAACCAATTTATGGCTTCCATGTATCGATTTACGACTTTACATGTCATCCCTGTCTCCCCGAAATGTGCAAAACCAAACCGTAACCCAATCGACACCACTTGCTCGAGGCTTCTTGGGCATGGCTTTTCGGGCCGTGGTCACACATATTGAGCTCAGAATAAATCTCTTAAAGTTATTTTATGGAGCTTGACTTTTCTTTTGATGCTTCGAAACTAATATAGAAGAAAATACAATCATAATTAATCATTATGAAGTAAGTAGAGAGAAAAGCTAACATATAGCAGGTAAAAAAACAGCACTTTTAACAAATGGTAATTTTAATGCAAATAAATCAATAATTAGGTTAAATATGAATGGACTAAATGCTCCAGTTAAAACACAAAAATTGTCATAATGGACTTTATTTATATATTTATATTCATACACACAGTTTATAAGAGACACAACTTAAACACAAAGATATAGAAAGATTAAAAACAAAAGAGAAAAAAAAGCCTTGGCCAGGCATGGTGGCTCACACCTATAATCCTAGCACTCTGGGAGGCTGAGGCGGGAGGATTGCTCGAGGTCAGGAGTTCGAAACCAGCCTGAGCAAGAGCAAGACCCTGTCTCTACTATAAATAGAAAGAAATTAATTGGCCAACTAATATATATAGAAAAAATTAGCCGGGCATGGTGGCACATGCCTGTAGCCCCAGCTACTCGGGAGGCTGAGGCAGGAGGATTGCTTGAGCCCAGGAGTTTGAGGTTGCTGTGAGCTAGGCTGATGCCACGGCACTCACTCTAGCCTGGGCAACAAAGTGAGTCTCAAAAACAAACAAACAAAAAAAGCCTTGCCTAAAGCCAGGTGCAGTGGTGGTTCACGCTTGTAATCCTAGCACTCTGGGAGGCCGAGGTAGGCAGATTGTTTGAGCTCAGGAGTTTAAGACCAGCCTGAGCAAGAGCGAGACCCTGTCTCTACCAAAAATAGAAAAAATTAGCTGGGCAACTAAAAATATATAGAAAAAATTAGCCGGGCATGGTGGCACGTGCCTGTAGTACCAGCTACTCGGGAGGCTGAGGCAGGAGGATGGCTTGAACCCAGTAGTTTGAGGTTGCTGTGAGCTGGGCTGATGCCACGGCACTCTAGCCCAGGCGACAGAGTAAGGCTTGTCTCAAAAAAAAAAAAAACTGTTCCAGAGATGAGAAGGAGAAACACCCCCACAGTTCCATGAAGCAGTGTAGCCTTGATGCTTAAGGCTGACGGGACTCTGGGAGAGACGCAGATTACTGGCCAGCGAAAATAAACGCAAAATCCACACACAAAATATTCGTGAGCCAAATCCAGAGATATTGGGGAAAGATAATATATCACGATCAGCTGGGCTTTCTCCAGCAATGCAAAATTAGTTTAGCATTAAACATTCATCACTGTAACATATTAACAGAAGAACAGAGAAAATCATGTAAGCATCTTAATAGATGCAGAAAATACATTTGATAAAGTTCAACATCTATCTGTGATTTTAATAGAGCATTTGGCAAATTAGCAACAGAGAGGAACTTAATGAATCCACTGAAGGGAGCTACGAAAGTGCACAGCAAAACTGCACTCCTGGCGCTGCAGCAAGCTTGCCCTCCCCCACCGGAGCTCAGCACGGAGAACCTCATCACCATTTCTAGTCAATGCCATGCAGGGCTTCCCGGCGGGAGCGGAGAAGAGGGAAAGAAGGAAGAAAGAAACACGATGGGATTAGTGATGAAGAGGCCAACCTAGCACCATTCTCAGATGACACGACTGCTTACTTGTGAAATCCACAGCCCTCTGCAGATTAGAATCGGTGAATGGGCTGAGCAAAGCTGCTGGATACAAGGCCACTACACAAATCCCTGTTTCATTTCTATAGCCAGCGCTGAACAGAAAGTATGTTGTTTACAAAGCTATGATTTACAATAACACCACGAAATGTCAAATATCCCTGCCAAATACAATAAAAGATGCACGAGACCTCTTCACAGAGCACAACGAAATGTTTTTGAGAGAACATAAAAAGACGGATGATGGGTCTGCATGCGTGGGCAGACACGTCTATTCGTCGATTAGACGATTCTCGTCGTAAAGACTTGCAGATGTGTAGAGTCAATGCAATCCCAATCAAATCCCGACCACGCGTTTAGGGCGGACACACACAGCAAGCTGATCCTAAAATGTTCATGGAGACACAAAGGACTGAGCTTCAGGAGTAAAATATCATGGTCGGAAAAAAATTCTGAGCACAATGAAATAACTCTGATAAGCAAAGGACAGGCCGTTAGGACGAAGGTTTCCATTAGGGAAAAACGTGCTTCTGTGCTTTTGACGGTGGCTCTCAAAGCCGCTTTGGTATTTAGCTTCTTGGATACATTGACAAGAGCGACTGACAGTTTTATTTCAAAGTGTCAATATTTACACCATCCAGCAATTACATTCTTTGCAGTTATTTACATTATTTTTGAAGAAAAGTTTAGCTGTTGACTTCAAAATTCAGGAGTGGTTTGACAGCTTTTCAGAATTCTTTGGGGAAAACGAGAGGAAGGCTTTTTGCAGACCCCTGCTCCAGCTGCCCCAGCTCAGCCTGGTCCCGCTGAGCACCGACTGCATGCCCTAAGGCAGGAGCCAGATCTGGGGGAGAGAGGGGGGTTCAAGAACAAGACAAACCCTGTCAGTGTGCAAGGTGACAAGGGCCAGTGACCAGCAGAGCGAGCTCTCAGGAGAGTTAGGGTTAGGGTTGGGCTTCTAGTGCAGAAGGGAGGCCCGTGGGAGGCAGCCCAGCCAGGAGGGCAGCGCAGGCCGGGGACACCAGGTAGGCACAAGTGTCCCTGCAGAAGGCGGGGCAAGAGAACGAGTAGACAGCCAGGGAAGAGTGAGTCAGACTGCATGCCACAGGGTGGCGGGGGGTGGGGGACAGGGGAGGCCAGAGCCAGGAGGCCATGCTTGTGGCCTCTTCACGGTCCTTTCTGAGTGGCCACATCTGTGCCGGCTCATCAGGTCTGGGAAGGTGTGGAGAGCCTAGCACACACCCGCTCTGGTCTCAGGAATTGCTTCCTCCTGTGACGTGAGGCACCAGGACAGGCCAACCCCTCGCGCCTCCCTGGAGCAGAGCTTGCTGCAGATGCAGGTGAGCGTGCAGAACCCCGTGCCTGTGACCAACAAGGCTTCCAGCAGAAGATTCACAACACCCCGCTGAGCAACAAAGACCAAAGACTGAACCTTGAAAGGAAAGCAGCAGGCGGGTGGAGGAGGAGACAGCAAAGCAGTCCCCACCGGGCACTCTGGGGGCTCTTTGGCCCCCACCCTGTGCAGGAGCTCTGCAACCAAGAAGACAGGAGGGGCCAGCTGAGTTCTTTCAGTTCTTTTGCGTCAGCTGTGTGTTCTGTGTTCACCCAAACTGGAGGCACCTTTCTTCCTGAAGTGGATGATGTCATCAGACCCAGGAGTTCCCCCAGGCATGGGACTATCTCAGCCCCTCCCATCCAGAGTCTGTGTCCTCACTGCTCAGCCTGCAGGACAGCCTACGCCCAAGTCGACCAGATCCCGTGTTTGCTGCCTGCGAGGCCCCTGGAGCCTCCCTTTGTGGCCTCATTGCCAACGTTCCCCCTGAGAGCGCTCAGGCTGGGTGGCCACCCCAGCCCCCCAGCAGAGAGGCCCAGAAGCCCAGGCACTCAGCTCTGCGGATCCAGGTTCCGAGTACTGGGGTGCAGCCGGAGCCCCCAGGTCCTGGAGCAGGGCCCACCTGCTCCATCTGCCCTCCTTCTGAGACTGATGGTTGGGGGCTGCTGTGGACCCCTCTGGGGCCCACAGAGAGCACTTGGGGACAGCTGGCCACAGCCACACAGCCCGGAGGTGTCTGTTCTACAACTCCGGCTGCCCCCACCCCACCCCACCTGGCTGGCTGCTCTGAGCTTCCAAACACCCCAGGGGGGGAGGAGGCTGCACCCCATGGTTGATTCGGGTGACGTGGGAGGGCCCTCGGTAGGCACTGTGTAGAGGGTGAGACCACCTGGCTGGATGCAGGACCCTGCCCAGCACCTGCCCCAGCTCCCACCCCCCGAGTGCCAGAGCACTCTGGGAGCCACAGAGACCTGGCCCAGCACAGAAGGCTGGGAACCAGTGTCCCTGTCCACGCCACACCCGAGGGCTTTGCAGGACCCGCCAAAGCCTCCCTCATTAATTCAAGGAGCACTTATCAAGCGCCTACTGTGTGCCTGGCCAGGCCAGGCTATGTATGCTCTGAGCCTGCCCTGCAGTGCCCACTCTGGTGGGAGCGCCGACCCACAGCTCTGCTCTCTAAGGCAGGGGTGGGCGGTGGTGAGATTGTCACCCACCCTCTTGGCCTTTTGCCAAGGGGCATTCTGGCCCCTTGTGTGTGGGGGGGTATCCAGAGCCACAGGCCCCAGCTTGGGACAAGCTCCCCCAGCACTGAGGAGGCCCAGCGAGTGGACCCTAACAGGCCGGGAAGGGGTTAATCAGGAGCCGCAGGACTGCCAAAGTGGGCCCCAAGTGGGGCGCTGCAGGCTGCTGCCCCACCGGCCTCTCTGGGACCCCAACTCCAGCTGCTCTGCCACAGGCACGCCCCCTCCTCCCCCCACTGCGGCAGCCCCGACCCTCGGCCCCCTCCTCGGGTGGACTCCGCCCCCGACCCTCCGTGTGCCCAGGTGGGCGCAGACCCGGCCTCCTGCCCGCGCTGACAGCGGCCACACGCAGTGGCTCCGCCCCGCACAGTCGCAGCTCCTGAAAGGGGACCAGGTGCCCAGACACCAGGGCCCGGGGATCGCCCGCGGAGACCGCGGCCCCGGGCGCCCCCCTCCCCCTGTGCCAGCCATAGAGACCCCGGCCCCGGGCGCCCCCCCTCCCCCTGTGCCAGCCACAGTGACCGCGGCCCCGGGCGCCCCCCTCCCCCTGTGCCAGCCACAGTGACCGCGGCCCCGGCGCCCCCCTCCCCCTGTGCCAGCCACAGTGACCGCGGCCCCGGGCGCCTCCCTCCCCCCTGTGCCAGCCACAGTGACCGCGGCCCCGGGCGCCCCTCCCCTGTGCCAGCCACAGTGACCGCGGCCGGCGCCCCCTCCCCCTGTGCCAGCCACAGTGACCGCGGCCCGGGCGCCCCCTCCCCTGTGCCAGCCACAGAGACCGCGGCCCCGGCGCCTCCCTGTGCCAGCCACAGTGACCGCGGCCCTGGGCACCGCCCCCGGCCCCGGCCCGGGCTCCCTGGCGCGTCCCCCGCCCGGCGACACTGCGGCAGGCGGCGCACCGCGGGGCGGCGAGGCGCGGGGGCGGCGCGTTGCATGCGGCCGGGCGCGCGTAGCCGAGGCCGAGCTGCCCAGCGGCGAGCGGGCGCGGACAGGGACGGCGGGGACAGCGGACGGCGCGGTGCACTGCGCGCCCCCCGCCCTGGCCGCGCCCCCCGCGGCACGATGCAGGCCACGGACCCCGCGGCCGAGCTCTGCGAGGAGGACGGCGGAGACCTGGACTTCTACGACTTCGAGCCGCTCCCCACTCTGCCTGAGGACGAGGTGAGCCCCGGGCCCCACGGCTGTGTTCCCTGCGGGGTGGGGGAGGTCGGGGGACAGTGCCCGGAGGGGGAGCCGGAGGTCTCGCTGCGGGGGATCCCGCAGCTGTCCTCAGCGCCCCCTTCCTCACTTTGACACTTTGGCCAGGAGGGACAGGACCCCCTGGAATGCCGCCGCTGGGGGGTTGGTGGTGGGCGGGTGGTCTCTGCGCAAGTTGGCACCGTGGGGGGTGGGCTCCTGACCATAAATGTTGTCTGGACGGTAGGGGCCACTGTTTACCTTCCTTCCTGCCCTGGGAGGCCCCCGGAGCACAGGGCAGCAGACCCCTCTCGGGCGCCAGTTTGGGAGCTGGGGGGTATGAGGCCCCCCCAGGGCAGAGGTTCAGGGGCCCCTGGAGGAGAAACCCCTGAGGGCTGAGAGCTGCTTCCCGCTCTCTGGGGGCTCTGGGCCTTCGCCCTCCCCCAGGCACAGGGGGACATGCCTGCTGTCTCCATCCCCTGGCTCCTGGCCGCGGTCTGGCCACCTGCCCACTGAGCCCGTCTGCCCAGCTCTGGCAGAGAAGCAGGTCGGCCCGGTCTGTCCCTGTAGGTTAGCCCTGGCTGCCCAGTAGGGCCCCGCAGGCTGTGGGCTGGGGTCAAAGGAATAAACTCTGTGTCCCGAAAACATGAGCCAGCCCCCAGAGGGGCCCTTCTGCCTCCCAGGGATATGGGATCTTCCAAACCGCCACCAGGCAAATGCCCCAGCCAAGCGCCAGGCTGCCCTGTTCCCTGCTGAGCTGCAGGGCCTTCCCTGTAAACTGCCAGGGGGTGCCGAAGACCCTTCACCAGCCCACAGGCACCTCCTGGAGCAGAGCAGCCCCCCCAGCGGCAGTCTTCAGGGCCTCTGCCGGCCCCCACCCCCGGGGGAGGGGTGGGCTCCAAGTGCCGGGAGCTTCCTCCTTTGGGGATGGTGTTGGCGTGTGTCTAGGCAGGGCTGGGGCTGGCTGCCCCACCCCCACAGCGGCCTGGATTTGGTGCAGTTGGAGGCTGCCCAGAGGAGGGGACGAGGGGATGAGCCTTGGATGTCTTCAGCTTGGACGGGGAAGAAGGCACATGCAGCCCATGGCCTGCAGAAACAGAAACGTCCACGAGGACATATTTCACTGTGTCCCTTAGAAGAGTCTCGGGATCGCTGTGGGGAGCAGCCCTGAGGACGTGGCTCTCCTCACAGCAACTTTGCACCCGGCACCCCAGCCTGGAAGGCCCCTCTGTGCCCGGCGTGACCAGGCAGCAGCTGGTGCCCCTTAAGCAGAACGTGTGGTGCAGCAGCCTGAGCCCAGAGACACCCACCTGACAGTCTTTCTGCCCCCAGCCAGCGCCCTCCCTGCTGGAGCAGCTCCCACCATGCACCATGCGTGGGGCCAGGCTCTCCGACCTGTGACCTGACAGAGGCCTGCAGGTGCACAGGACGCCAGCGATTTGGGAGCGTCCAGCAGGGAAGGCCGGTGGGCTTCCCCACCTGGGGAGGAGGGGCTGCCTGCCGGTGGGCAGGGCTGCAGCAGCCCCCAGAGAGACACCGGGCAGCCCCAGGGCAGCCGCCAGGACAGGGAGGTGGCACCAGGCCCAGGACACACACAGCCTGCAGAAGACCTAGGGACTCGCTCCTTCCGACAGCTAGTTCTGACAGCTGACCACAGTACGGTCGAGAGGTAGAAGGCCCCCCAGGAGCCCCCGGAGTGTCCCTCCTGCGTCCGTCATGACCCCAGAGAAGATCCAGAAGGCTGGTGAGCACAGGAAAAGATGTTTGCTCATCGTAATCAGGGCATGCAAACGTGCTGCCGTGAGCACCTTTCCCAGACCGCCAGGCCGGCGGAGCTGAAAGGTGGACAGCGCTGCGTTGGCAAGGACAGTGCCCGGCAGCGCCGCCCACGCGCGGGAGCCAAACTGGAGCAGCCTCTCTGGAAAGCAGCTCGGGCTTTGCTACCGAGGTGGGAGCTCCCCGCCGCCGAGCCCCAGCAATGTCACTGTGGGTGTGGGGCCCGGGACACATGGCCCTCGGGGGGACGGTGCCTGAGACCGCCCTCGCCCGGAAACCCCAGGCCTGCTGTGAGTGGACCAGCTAGCCTGGCCCTGGAGGCAGTGCCGTGGGCCAGTACAGGCCGAGGACCACTGGCACACAACCGACAGGGCGATGCTCTGCCTGGGCCCTAAGCAAGGTGGGCTTCCTGGGGGAGGTGTCCACGTGGGATTTCGGCCACTGTGGAGGGGGATTGTGCTATCTGGGCAAAATGGCGGCTGCCGGGGAGGCAGACACATGCTGGGCAGCCGCAGCCTAGGAAGGGGAAGCTCCTGCTGCCCCGTCACGAGCAGACGGTGCCAGTGGCCCCCAGGAGGCTTGGAGATGAGGATGGCCTGCGGTGCGGGGCAGAGCAGGGTGTTTCCTAGTTGTCATGCCCCCGGGGGGCAAGCGGCATCTCGTAGCCCCCTCGTTTGGCAAGTGCCCCCCCAGAATGTCTTGCGTGCGGCGTTGGGCTGGCTCGGGATTCGAAGGTGGGTGAGGCCCAGCTGCTCCTAGAGGAGCGGGCTCGGGGGCACCTGTGGAGAGGGGAGGTTCCCACGCTGCCCCACGGGGGCCATGTGACACCTGAGCCGGGACAAGCCCAGAGCAGGAGGCTCCTGCCGGGAGAGCCAAGGACAGTCTGGGGTGACGCAGGGGCTGCAGGAGGGGGGAGCTTTCCCTAAAGCCCCCCAGGCCTCGGGGGCGGCCAGTGAGGAGGGGCCGGGGCAGGGCTGGGGAGTGCCAGCAAATGTCCTCGGCCGAGACTGAGCTCTGTGTGGCCAGGTCCTGTTAGAACACCCCAAGGCTGGGAAAGTCAGCTGGTTACAGGAGAGTATTTGCAATCTGCACAGCGACCCAGGGCCCCGTCCCCCATAACCCAGCTCGCAGCCTGCCTCTGAGCATGGGGCCTCCTCAACGCACAGAAGCCCCGACACTGGGCACTTGGCCGTACCAGGGGAGGGTCCCGGTGGAAGCCGCCCCCCCTCTGGCTGAGGGGCCGCTGCCTGGAACAGCCCCCGGGGGTCACGTGCGCTCACCTGCCACGTCCCTCCCCCCACAGCGGCAAGGCAGGGCCTGCTCTCTCCTGCCCTGCCAGGAACAGGACTGGGGGGCCTCACGCTCAGACCCGCAGCCCCCAGACACTGCTTTTCTGGGGCTGGTGAGAGGCAGGGTGGGAGGCCGGGGAGCCCTCTGGGCTGGGCGGTGAGGTCTGTGCCTGCCGACAGAGCCCCACATGCCAGCCGGTGATGACACGGTCAGACCGTGTGGCAGGAACAGGAAGGGCTGGGGGTGGGAGCCGTGATGCCCCAGGTGCCGAGAGCCCTGTGGTGCCCTGGAGCCGAGGCCGGCTTTGCTATTCGTACGAAGCACGTCACCTCCCTCTGAAATGTCACGGCCGCTAAGCTCTCGTGGAGGCCACCTCGAAGCTCTGCGCCCCCCCACCACATTTCATCTGGGCATGGCGCCCCCAGCCCGCTGTGGGGCTAGACCCGCCTGGGGGTGAGGTTGGGCCTCGGGGTCCCCAAGTGGCCCCTCTGGGAGGTGAGTGCAGGGGTGCAGGGTGTGCATTGCCGCAGGGCTCCACGGACTGGTGAGGGCTGTCCACCCCCCCGCCCCTGGCCCCTCTTTCTTCCCTGTCCCCGGCACCACGGCCCTAGTCTGGCCACCGTGCATTTGGGCAAGGGAGGGTCACTCCTCCCCCCGGAGCCGGAGCAGGGTGGGGGCAGCAGGGCCGGCTGCAGACCCCGGAGTTCAGGCCTGGGTGACCCTCAGCACCGAGTCCCCGACCTGGCGTGCCAGAGTAGCCAGGGTGAGCCAAACCCGCCCGGGACGGACGGCGTGGCTGAGACAGGTCTGTCCGAGAGTGGAGGCCCAGCCACGGCCCCACAGAGTCCCCCCTGCAGGCAGCAGAGGAAACCCTGACACATTTAGGCGCCCCCCCAGATAGGCACTGGGGGATGCAGGTATCCAGCCTCCCGGGGGGGAGTGCGGGGGGGCTCGCTGTCAGCAGGCGTCCTCCCACAGGGCCCGAGCGTGGGATGGGGGACACGACTGACCTGGGTGCCCCTCTCGACAGCACACCTGTCCCACACCGTGTGAGCAGGCGGGGGCTGCGTGGAGTTGGGACTGGCTCAGACTTGCGCACGGGTTGGCCCCATTCCTCCTCAACAGCACAAACCCACGGGTCTCTGGAGTTGGTCATTACTTCATGTAGTGCATGCCTGTGTGCGTATGTGCATGCATGTGTGTGTGCATATGTGCTGCCCTGTGCACAGGTGTGTATACACGTGTACAGGTGTGGTGTGTGCCTGTGTGTGTGCACGTCTGTATGTACATGTGTGCTGCCCTGTGCATTTGTGTGCAGGTGCACAGGTGTGTATGCATGTGTACAGGTGTGGTGCGTGCCTGTGTGTGTGTATCTGTATATACATGTGTGCTGCCTTGTGCATTTGTGTGCAGGTCCATTGGTGTGTTTACATGTGCAGATGTGGTGTGTGCCTGTGTGTGTTTGTGTGCACCTATACATGTACATGTGTGCTGCCCTGTGCATTTGTGTGCAGGTGCACAGGTGTGTATACATGTGCAGATGTGGTGTGTGCCTGTGTGTGCACATCTGTATGTACATGTGTGCTGCCCTGTGCATTTGTGTGCAGATGCACAGGTGTGTATACATGTGTATAAGGTGTGGTGCGTGCCTGTGTGTGTGCACGTCTGTATGTACATGTGTGCTGCCTTGTGCATTTGTGTGCAGGTCCATGGGTGTGTTTACGAGTGCAGATGTGGTGTGTGCCTGTGTGTGTTTGTGTGCACCTATATATGTACATGTGTGCTGCCCTGTGCATTTGTGTGCAGGTCCCTGGGTGTGTTTACATGTGCAGATGTGGTGTGTGCCTGTGTGTGCACATCTGTATGTACATGTGTGCTGCCCTGTGCATTTGTGTGCAGATGCACAGGTGTGTATACAT